GTTCCACGTTCGGCCGAATGGCAGAACGCCTCGTGAGGGGGTGCCGAACGTTCGGGTGTTCGGCCCGTCCCGAACGCCGGCAATCCTGGTCACATGAATATCAGACATATATATATATATCGTCACATGAATATCAGAGCACAAAGGCGGAAAAAAAAAAAAAAAAAAAAAACAGAAGAAAACTCAGAAAACAAGAAAAAAATAATTCGGTTTTTTTTCTTTCTTACAACTTCCCCTGTTCAGAACCTCTTGCGTACATGGCCGCCCACGTGGATGTAGGTTGAGCGGTGTCATATCAACCCACTTGCACACAGCCAAAGGGCAAAGAGGCAAAGAAAAGAGGAAGGGAACAGCCAAATACAACAAAACAGGGGGCAACAAGCAATAGCACCAAAAACGGATCCTAGATGACAAGTCCCACATGCAAGCACCGCCCCTTCTTCACAGGCCAAACGACAGGACAAGACCACCCAGGACAAAACTCTTGTCTGCAAAAAAAGAAAAATCCCAGATTACATATCTATATACAGCAGATGGCCTTGTTCGTCATCAAGACGTGGGTATTCCCATTTGTAAACCATTCTTACTGGGACAAAAAACATAAAAGACAATCCCAGATGACGATTCCCACATGAAAGCACCGCCCCCTCACACAGGCCGAACAACGGGAAGCAACCAACTAGGATGCCAAGACAATAAAAGAGAACCCGGATGACTGGTCCCACATGAAAGCACCGCTATATATAGTCAATCAGAGATGCGCGGTAAACCATAGGCAGAGAGGGAGGGGAGAAGAGGACAACAACGAGGGGCTGTGGCAAACTGTTTCGTCGGAGTTTCACCGACTCATCATATATATATTTTTTAACTTGATTTTTATTTAAATTGTGGTAACGAATTTCGATGTGACCTTGAGGCAAAAGTTGTTCAGTTTATTTTTCTGCATTTGGTTTTCACATTTTTTTTATTAAAAAAATAATAAATTGCTGGGCCTTTCTTTGACCCTTGGACAACCGGGCCGCCCGGGCAAACAAGGTGAACCAGGCGGCCCGGCTGGTAGCCTAAACTTCATACAAAATAAAAAACAGAAAACCAAAGAAATAGAATGCAAATGTTCGTAACGCGCCGGGGAGGAGGGGGGGAAGAGAGAGGGAAGGGAAAGGAGAATGAATCTTCCCGTGTTATTGCGGAAGATTCATTCTCGTTTCAAAAGTTATGCACAGTGCGCCTACACGAGAGAGAGAGAGAGAGAATCGGCGCAGCAGACATGCTCTCTCTCTCTCTCTCTCTCTCTCTCTCTCTCTCTCACACACACGTTGTGAAGGAGAACGGACTTCGTGTTTTTCTATAATATACATGTATTTCGATTGTTTCTGCGTTTTTCCTTCTTCTTTTTGCCGACCAGTACCTCCGAGCCTGTTTTTGCCGACCCTGAATTTCACTGCGCTCCGAGTTTGCCGAGCCTGGGTACCACTCCGTTTTCTTTCCGGTACTCTCACGGAAAGAAAAAAAAAAAACAAAAAAGAAGAAGAAAAGTTGCGGCCGTGAACCTCAGAAAAGAAGGAAACAAAGCTTTGGCCGTGTTTGCAGTTGTATACATTCTTGGAAGTGGTAGTGTGAGTGTGCCCTCAATGAGGGCATCTCAGCCCTGTGGCCAGGTTGTCAGATTCCAAAAAGAGAATAAAAGGGGGGAAAAACGGGCACGTGGATCCGGCCGTGAAAATGGCTGGATACATTCCCCTAAGTGCCAGTGTGATGAGCCTTACAATCCTCTGCCAAAACACAGCTTGAGCAGATCACGGACAGCTTGAGCAATTCACGGACAGGGGGAGCAATTCACGGACGACAGGGGACTCGTAAGAAACACACGACCAAGAAAAAAAAGAAAACAGTAACATTCAGAATGTGACCGCCTTACCTGTAAGGTGCATTCTGTGGAGGAAGATTGTGAGCACGGCCTCCTGTCCCTGCCCGACATCATTGCAGTAGAGAAAGCTTTTTTTTTTTTCCTTTTTCCGTTCACTCGCGGCACTTTTTTTTTCCTTTTCCGTTCACTCGCGGCACTATAAAATTCAGATTTATGGGACATTGCCGACCCTGTGTCCCACCCCCGAAAAGTTCGGGTACTGGCCAAACATCATTATTTATTTATTTATTTATTTATTTATTTATTTTTATTAAACATTGTTCCATTATATTCAAACAAACATCATAATTTCCCAACACTGGCAGGGGCCTCCTCCCACTAGCGTCGATTTACTCTTCGGCTCCATGGTTTTCAACCACGTGCGGCGCGAGGTGACATCCGGCGACCGTTGATCCTTTTGTGTATCGTCGGCGCAGGGCGATAAGGACCTATTTCGTTAGGGTATCTGTCCGCCGGCCAATAGAAGAGTTTCCTTTTCATTTTTTTGACCATTTAGCTAGCCACTTTGCGTTGGCGCGAAGCTGCAATATTAGGGAGGTCGGAGGGGGGGGGCGTTTTTGCATCGATGTTGTTTTCTTTTTTTTATGTGG